ACAGTATACTGTTCCATAGCAGAAGCACTATTGTTGGATAAAGGGAAGAAGTGGTGGTCCTGAGGCAATGCCAAATCCTTATAAAATGTTGACCCACTTTCTTGACCTTCCAAAGAGGGCTGTAGAGGTGAGGAGGCTGTTTTTGCTTAACACTAAGGAAAATAATTTGATTTTTCAATGATGTTTGTGAATATTAACCAGAGTATTTTCAACTGGTACATTCTATTTGAATTGAATTAATATGTAAAATAAACCCATCAAAAACATTGAACGACATGAATTTAACATTCTGTTTCTGCTTATCCAGTTTGATCGCAAACGTTTTAAAACATACATTAATACTGGGGAGGCATGGCAAAGCTCAAAGCAAATGCATTTAAACATTTGAACAGCTATTAATGGAATTCTTCCCCCAGGTGCATGCCCATCTCTCTGTATGACTCTGCTGAGGTTGGTTAGTTACACCCCTGGAAATAAAAACTGGAGAAAATGAAAGGCTAAAAAGATAGAGGACTAAGGCAAAGATAATGCAAGCATAAAATAAGCTCAGTGTATTGCAGTCTCCAAAAATACAAAAATTCAACAGTGATCTTGAGCTGCAGCAGAGCTCTCTAGGACAGTCTTGCTTTTCAAATGCTAAGAAAATTGTTGAGACTTCAAAATCTTTGTAAGGGGTGAGGAAAAAGAACTGTTAGGAGAGTGTAGCATGCTGCTAATGAATTACAGATTCACAGATATTAAAAGATAGGACAAATCTATTCAATCTTGTGTATCCTGCTGTTGATACTGGATAGTTTTCCTTCAGTAAAAATCACAGCTGCTATGTCCCATTCAGTTTTCAAAGACATCTCTTGAGTGATAAATGCCATCACCTCACAAAACATAACCAGAATTTTTCTTTCTCTGTATTAATAAACCTACATTTTTGGAATGTTCCTTGTTCTGCCAAATGTGCAGGTGCATTGTCTGTTAAAGTAGCTTCAAATTTTAGATTGCAATTGTAAGCATAATTACTTGGGAGCAAGGACCCTTTCACACTACATAATTATAGTGCTATGATTCCACTGCTTTGGCTCCATCCTATAGAATTCTGGAATCTATGGTTCAAGGAGGGGTACTTATTTTTAACCTGAGAATTCTACTCTCTCCCCAAACTACAAGGATTCCAGGATTCTATAGGATACAAATGGTTGTTAAAGTGGAATTATAGTGCTATAATTATGCAGTGTGAAAGGGCCCTAAGTCTCATGAATGTAGTGGAAATTCCTTCTGGGCAAGCATGTTTAGGATTGACATGGATGTCTGGATTGAGCTTTTGCTTTTGGTATATTGCTGTTGTCACTTTCAAAGATGCCAAGTAAAAGTGACATTGCTCTTATACACAAATGTATTTCCTGTGTTATTGCAAAAATAGAACTGATATCTTGTTCACATATATTTTCTCCAAACATTTAAGACACCTCTTAGCAGAATTCTTGCTTGACATGTTATGAGATTGCTTGTAGTACACTCCAGCACTAACATACTATTTGTTTTACTGTAATTTGCATGTTACACCATCACTAGTGAGATGCTACCTGGTATACTTTTCACAGGTAATTTGCAATGCCCTGTACACATGAGAAAGCCTCTGTTGTATATGAGCAGCTCCACCTTTTACATGTTATCACCGAAATTCTATATAACCTGTTATGTTATGTAACTTTACACATCCTAGGTACATAGGAGAGGTGCTTGAAACCCTTTACTGAACTGCAAAGATGTATAACAGGACACTGGCAAGAGTGCATGCTGTGCATTGGTACCTGATGTGTATCAGGACTGATGCAATGAGTCTGATGTACATTGATTGCATTGTGCACTGGTTGCATTGCACATTGATCCGTTTGTCAGCTCTACTATGTAGTAAAGTAACAACAGCCCTCTGCCAGATCTGGATGTTATGGAATTGCCCAATTCTAATTCCCTCATATTATTCAGATGTAAGTCACCAAAAAAGATTCTGGGCAACAATTTTTGCCCTGGTTTCTTTTAAGAAATGTGCTCAGACATATCTAAAATATCCAGGTGCATACAACAGGATTTCCTTCATTTATATTTTATATACTTAAAATATGATTTGTGTAAATATTTTGGTATCTATAGTGGTCACCCAGAGAATTCCCCTTGAAAAGTGGAACAGAAACAGAAGTGTTTCATTGTGTAAAGAAGTAGATGTTGCAGAAGGTATTTTGCTGAGGGTGAAAAAAGCATAAGTCCTCTTCCTGTAGCATCTTGTACTACAAAATAACATGTGAAGTGGCATATCTCTTCTGTGACTCTACTTCATGGGCTATTCCTTGTAAGCACAGTAGGGAGTGCAGGGGGTGAGAACCACACCAGGAGACACCCTAAGGGGGTGATACCACTGCTCCTCAAATGTCTGCCTTTTAGCAGAAACAGGCTGTGGCATTAACTTGTGTCCCATTAAAATGCTGAAGAGATGGAGTGAGGCTCAGTGGGAGGAGAAAGGAGAAGCCTCCGTTTTTTTAAAAAATAAAATTTTAAATTTCCAAAAATATTATTTATATTTTAATTTCTTTAAATTTTAAAACATCACATTTTACAAAATTTTCACTTTAAGCACATGAAACTATGTATATGTAAATGCATTTAGGCTGTGTGAATGATATTGTAATTTAAAAGTAGAATTTTAATTGTGCTAGTTGTTTATGTCACAACTATGTCACAACTATTACCATTACATTCAGTGATAAATGGGAATTACTATTTATGAGTAACATTAGTACAAAAAACTAATGGTGTGGTATAGGAGGAGGTCAATGGGAGGAGACACTGGGTGATTCCAACCCTAGTGATGCCATTAATGTGGACCATGGGAGAATGCCATAATGAATGTTTTCTAGGTGATACATGAGAAAAGAACAAGAGGAAAAACAGGAGTGCTGTTTTTGGAGTAGCCACACCTAGCTCCTTTATTCCCAGTTCACAGACTATGTGAATTTCTATGTTTCATGTCTGGAAACCAAGTGTTATGATGAATGAAAGACAGAGTTGTGTAAGCTTAGCTTGGAGAAGACAATACGGACATGATAGCCATCATGAGATATCTGAAACAATGTCATGTGGAAGATGGAGTAAGCTTGTTTTTGTCTGCTCCAGAAATTAGAACATGAACCAATGGTTCAAATTACAAGAGAAGAGATTTCATTTAAACATTAGGAAGACCATTTTTTTAACTGTAAGAGCTGTTCCAAGTGGAACAGATTGCCCTGGAGGGTGTTGGACTCTCTTCTTTGGAGGCCTTTAAACAAAGAATGGATAGCAATCTTTCAGAAGTGCTTTAGTGAGTATTCCTGCATAGGAGGGGGTTGGAATAGATGGCACTAGTGGACCTTTCCAATTCTATGACTCCATGATTGTCAAGCTGGTATCCAATGTCACATTTCTCAGCTGTCTCCATGAAGAAAATGGGCCAATCATCTCTTTATTATGCCTGTTCTGTTACTTATGCAGTACCATCAGTATTCATTGTCTTTTGGAGATTTATATAAGCAAAAGAGGTACCTTCTTCAATAAATATGACTTTTTATTTTTATACATAAATTATTGTTATTAATTACAATTATATCACAAACTTTCCTAAGAAAGCTGACAGAACTGTTTGATGGTTTTTCCCTTGCCTTACTTTTATTCTCACATCAGTGAAGAAGGGAACTGAACTTATCTAGTACTATATTAACACATAGAAACACACCCACACTATACATTGTATAACAGTTTATTTCTGAGGGAAAATGGGTAAAACATTTCAGTGAAACACTTGTTTACTCTAACTGAAAAGTGCTTCTCTAAAAATGACAATGTTAACATTGTGTTGACTTGCACTCCAACCATGACCTTCTTACAACCCAGCAACAACCCAGACACAGCCATGATCAAAATATATGAGAAAACACATAAGAACAAGAGCCCCAAGGTTTAAGACCCCACATGTGTTTTTTAACCAGTTTGACCCGTCTGTAATCTTTTGTTAAAATGTAGCAGCAATCTGGATATTTAATTTTTTATTTGTATTTTTTAATTATTATTTTTTGCTCAAAATGTTGATACTACAGTTGTTAAGCAGCCAAAAAACCTAACCCAGATGTACTGAGTAAACCCAGCAGATTATTTGTCAAACAAATTCTGGAACCCAATTTTTTTAAATTTAATTGGTATGCAAATGCAGAAACAAAGTAGCATTTGTGCTTGATACAGTTGTCACTTCAAATTCTAATAACATTCATTATTGTGCTTCCAGATGTTTTTTCACACCTAACATCTGCTAATACCACCTAAACCCCAGGAAGTCATCAAACCTGTGCAAACTTCCTTTCTGTCTCGCTCTTGCTCTGTTATCTGCTCCATGCACACTAATTTTGTGCATCTGAGGCTTCTGCTCGCCAGAATTATGCCTGCTTCCTAACACCTCTGCCTCCAGAGCTTTGGATTTGAAATTGAACAGACACAGAGCCAATTTATCACAGGATGACATGTGTCATGTTCATGGTATAACCAGAGGGACTTGCAGTACACACTGTATTTATCCTTTTGTTGTCAGCCTGGACCAAGACAATATAAGCAGTAGGCAACCATTACATTTATAAAGCATGGTACATATACTTAACTGATAAAACTGTGAATAGTTTATTTCAAAAGACAGGACTGGATCATTTTGTTAGGGATCAGATTTTTCTTTTTCTTTTGGTCAAATATCATTATCTCACAATAAAGCATATGCTATATTCAAATGTGAGCTTAATTCCGAAGCTTTGGGGAGTGAAGTCTCAAATAAAAATGAAACACAGAATGCTTACTCATTTATTTTATTTTATTTTTTGAAAAATAAAAATTCATTGTCTTGGTTCATGTCTATGTTCACTACCTTAGCAAGTCTCAGAAGTTTACTTATGTGCAATGAAGGACCAATGCCTATCAGCTAAATTTGGAAAGAGGTTATCAGCATGGTTTAGTGGTTTGAGTGTTGGACTATGACTCTAGAGACCAGGGTTCTATTCCCAGCTCTGCTTTGAAACCCACTGAGTGAATTTGGGCAAGTCAGATCTTCTCAGCCTCAGGAAAGGCAATGGCAAACCTCCTCTAAAGAAATCCTGCCAAGTAAGCCCCATGATAGGTTTGTCTTAGGATCACTATAAATTGGAAATGACTTGAAGTCACACAACAACAACATATCAATTACCGTCATTTCAGTTGTTGATGGAGAACCAAACATTTGGAAAAGAACCAAAGGGTTGTCATGAGGAAGAATAATGAAAAAATGCTGCTTTTGCCAGCCTACTTGCACTTACCAACATTGGTATCCAGCACATTGTTTTGATTGTACAATATATTTTTCCCTTAGAATTATATGTATTTTTTAAAATCCAAATTGCAGATCATAACTAAGGGCTAAGCAAAACTCCCCAAATTGCAGAGAAATGTAGCCAAACATATTCATTCATTCATCCATCCCCCCAGGGAGGGGGTTGTTGGGGTTTGGGGGTCTTATTCTGTAGTTTGTATTTTATCTGTTGTAAGCTGCCCCGATTGTTTTAACAGAGGGGCGGGGTAAAAATAAATTATTATTATTATTATTATTATTATTATTATTATTATTATTATTATTATCCCCACTCTTTTCAAGGTAGCTTATAAAATTTAAAAGAAATGTAGGTAAAATATATTTTAAAAACACTATCAGTAGAATTAAAAGTATTTTTTTAAAAAAAAATCAGTTCAAACCAACAAATGTGGACAATATAGCACATTTCCCTGAAAGCTTTTAGTAATAACACTTTTCTTCACAATCAGTCAGTTCCCAAAACCCTATTGAAACAAAAAAGTGTTCATGTGCTTCATGTCAATAAGCAAGGATCCTGTCTAGGTTCTATAAGAAGGGACTTCTAGAGAGCTGTGAAAACTCTAAAGGGTCTAGGGAGTTGTAAAAAGCTTGTCAATATGAGGAAGATCTACCATCCAAATAAGCGTGAGTGCCATGTAGTGGTTTGAGTGCCAGACTAGGATGAAGACCAGGGGTCAAATCCCAGTTTAGGTAAGACAAACATTTTCTGCTTGCCAGGAAAACAATCACAAACCTCTGATAAATCTTGCTAGGAAAACCTTAGTCATAGGGCTATGAGTAAGAATTAACGTAAAGGCACAAAACAACAAAACCAGTAATAATTTCACTGTTATCTTTTCTCTGCTTCCCTTTCCTTGTTTTACACTGAGACTTAACTAATTTATTCCTAAAAGTTGCAAGGTTAAATACAAAGCATCAATTGTAGTAAGCCACTTTGAAGTGTGTGTGTATATGTGCCTTCAAGTCACCTGTCAACTTATGATGACCCCATGGATTTTATAGAAAATTCTTAGACATGGAGCCAGTTCCTTCCCAGAAATATAGCCTAAGGCTTCTGGGACTAGTTTGTGGTCTCCCATCCAAATGCTAACCAGGGCTGACCTTTCCTAGCTTCCAAAATCAGGTGGAATCTGGTGCCTGAAGGTTATTTAGGCCTCCACTTGAAGTATGTTGGTTTAATTTTGTGGACCAAGCTGTAGATTCAGAAACTTTATGGAATATATATTTGAGACATAAATAGGGCAACTGTATTTTCACCATTTTTCCCCATAATGACTAAGAATCTAATGTTACAGGAATATGTGAGTTCAGGGAACTTCAAAAAGCTTGTATTTTATTTGTATATTGATTACTGTGCTGTAAACTGTCAGATCAATAGACGTAAAGACAGAAAAGTAAACGTGATGCAAGAGATCAGGGTTTTAATGCTTTAAGAAAAGCTATTTTCTTCTGGATTTAGGAACCAAGTTATAGTAGAAAGACAGAAGTTTATGGAATGTGATTAGAAGCAGCCAATTAATCATCTCAAAGTTTTAAAGGAATGCTGTCAATTATATGGCTTACTTATGCATACTGCACATGAGCGGTCTCTGGTAAGAAAAATTTAATCTGACAAAACCATACTAATTTGCTACATCACATTACCAAATCATATATTCCTCAATCATACCAGAATTTAATAGCTTCAGTTATATAAATACATGAGGTCTTATTTTTCCATTTTAAGTGCAATAGTTTTGAACTCCAAATCCTCAGGTTTATAGAATGAATAGTATCAATTTGGCAGATAGCCATGACTGGACAAATGGTCGGTCTAGATGCTGAGAATTCTACATTTCTGACATGAAAAAAGAATAAGAAGGGGTAGCTAATATCTCAGAGGGCAGGCTCAAGATTCAAATGACCTCAGTGGATTGGAGAGCTGGACCAAAATTTAACAAAATTAATTTCAACAGGGAGAAATGTGAGGTACTATTTTTAGGCAGAAAAAAAAATGAAATGCACAAATATAGGACAGGTGACACCTGGCTTGACAAGAGCACATGTAAAAAAAATCTAGGGGTTTTAGTAGACCACACATTAAACATGAGTAAACAGTGTTATGCAGCAGCCAAAAAGCCAATGCAGTTGTAAACTGAATCAAGAGTATGATGTCCATATCAAAGGAAATAATGGTGCCCACTCCATTCTGTTTTCATTAGACCTCACCTGAAATACTGTGTCCTGTTCTGGACACAGTATTTTCAAGAAGGATATTTATAATGTATCCAGAGCAGTGCAATCAAGGTGATAAAAGATCTAAAAAATGCCTATGAGGAACAGCTTAGGGGCTTGGATATATTTAGCTTGGAGAAGACAAGGCTGAGAGGTGACATGTAGCCATATCTAAATATCTGAAGAGTTGTCATATAAAGGATGGAGCAAACTTATTTTCACACTTGCTCCATCTTTTACATGACAACTCTTCAGATATTTAGATATGGCTGTATGTCACCTCTAAGTCTTCTTGAAAGGATTCATATTAGAAGAAAAGAGATTCTACCTAAGCATTAGGAAGAACATCTTAACTGTAAGAGCTGATCAACATCAGACTAGATTGCCTTAGTGAACTGGTGAACTCTCCTTTGGAGGTCTTTAAATGAAGCCAGCGTGATGTTGTGGTTTGAGAACTGGACTGTGACTCTTGAGACTAGGGTTTGACTGTGACTCAGCGGGTGGGGCTTTGTTGAGTGGCATTTGCAA